CCAAAAAGCCGTAACAATTTGAAAAAATTGTTTGTATTATATATCGAATGGCTCCCCATTTTGTATCTGTTATACACTTGTGACATAATAGCTTACATTTGTAGATGATACTGCCATCCTAGCGATAGACAAAGATCATGAAGAGGCTGCAAATAAACTACAAACATCAGTTAATCATCTAAATAATTGGACCAAAAGATGGCGTATTAAACTAAACGAAACTAAATATGTTAATATTAATTTAACTAACAAAAATGGTCAACGAATAACATAAATAACGCCCAGGTCCCTTATACTAACTCGGAAAAATATTTAGGTATTACATTAGATACAAGACTTCGCTGGAAGAGCCATGTTAAAAAGAAGATAGAATAGAAGTAAAAGTTGGAAAGGCTTTTGCCAGTTCTCCCACTTTATACATATAAATTTACAAGTTTGCAACGGATTTCACCGAAGTGGACGCGATACATTGGCGTACAAAATTATTTTATAGATGTTAATAATAATTTCGAGTAAATAGTTTAATAAATTGTGAATAGCTGTTGAAGTTTTGTAAAATTATGATTTGAATATTATAATACATGTTCAATAATTATTTATAGTCCATAAATACATGCGATTGTCCGGTTCCGCCGATAACAATTTAAAATTACTTATTCTATGAAACGACCCTGGCAGGTAAACATTACTGCGAAATTCTCGAAGCCGTCCGACGTGGTTTGACGTTTACCCCCTCTCTACCTACCAAAAGCCTTTCCAACTTTTACTTTCGCTATACAAGCCATAGATATAAAATTCAAGAAAATGTACTGATTACTTGGTAGACATTCCAGTCTATCTACAAAATTCTATTATATAAACAAGTTATCAAACCAATTTGGACCTATGGCATTCAGCTCTGTGATTGTGCCAGCTACAGTAATATTTTAATAATCCAGAGATTCCAGAACAAATTATTAAGGAACATTGTCGATGCTCCTTGATACATTAGAAACAGCGACCTTCTACGAAACCTTCAGATGGACACTGTTGACCAGACTATCACCAGATTCGCTAGGAGTTTGTTTTTTACAATATTAAAATATAGGGCGTGTCTGTAATTTTGTGCAGCGTCTTAATTAGTTTATTTTACAGTTAAAAAAGCTTGGTATTTTTAACATTATCATTTACCACTGGGAAACAAAACAACTTTAATTTACTGAAATTAAATAACTAACCTTTTTCATATCGGCTAATGGACAATTTCCCTGGTCAAAAAATCTAACCTCACATGCATAACCTTTTTTTCTCGTTCATTGCAAACACAGTTTTCTCTATTAGCTTTGCCCTTATAATCATTAAGAATAAAGTCGTGCTAGAAATGTTTAATATAAAACACTGTAGCTAAATAAAATTCTATAAATTTTTCTTTACAATCACTTCACTTTATCTAGCAGTAACTTGGTATTTGGGGTTTGAACTATATTTTAATAGATCTTAAACGTACACGCACATCACTATTTAGTATTTTTTGTAAAGAAGAATTAATTAGAATATTAGAAACCGGTAATAACGAAACTTAATTTGCTGACAATTTTATTTTTCATCTTCAGTTTTGATAGTCTGTGATTCATTTACAGAACTTTTAATTACTTTGTCAATTTTTATAAACTTCTTAAATTAGTAATATTGTTGAAATTAAGACTCCGGTTTTATTTTTTACTTGATAAAAGCTAAAATAAACTGATTCTCATAATGGCACTTGTTCCAGTGTTGCCAGGGTCAAATGGTGACAGTCCCAAGTCATCAATAAAATGCAATACTGCTAGACTTCGTATTACGGGTAAGGTAGTAAACAAAGAACAGAGCCGGCTTTACGTAACAGTAAGTTTCACACGCTGTGAAACAGAAAGATGGAGTTTACTGTTATTTTAAAAAAAAAATTAAAATGTTTATAATCATCCCCATATTTTATTAAAATTAACTTTCACCAGGAGATGGAACAGTGTTTTCGAAACATATGTAGTGCCTGTGTTTAAATTTTATAAAAGAAAAAAACTTTTTACCGAATAAACCAGTGAACTTTTTATTTATATGGAATTATATACTTTCTCTGTCACTAATAAAAGAAAATAACAATTAATTTCATAAAAACCTTTCTAATTTTAAACACCCCTAGAGCCATCTGTTTGAAAATTTCAATTAGTACGATGTTTTTATGGCTTATTTGAAAGTAATTTTAATTATCACTTTAATGAGATGCCGTTTCTAAAATTACCTTGATGAGCGAAGAAGAGAGGTAGGAGGTAAAGAGACTTGAATATTGAGTTTTTTAAATGAGTACACAATAAATGTTGAAAAACAAACAAAAAATTATATGGAACAGATAAATTTATTAAAATCTAAACTCAACATTCTTTTGTTTTTATAAGTTCATTAAGAAAGTCGTGTATCAAATCTTAAAATCTTAAATTATTTATATTTTTTATTACTTTCTTTAATGATCTTATCAATATTTTTACGATCAAAATTACAGTAGCAACAATAATAGATACCGCATTTATACAAAGTTAGAACTAAAATAAAGGGCCTAAAAATGTATTAGCGTCGATAAACAAAACGGACCAAACCGACACTAAATATACCGGGTGTTAGTATATTCGACCGACAACACTCTACCCCCAGAGGGCTCTCGTTAATTGATGAATTTTGATATAGAAACATAGACCCTTAAAGGGCTTAGTTACCGAGGTACGGAGTGTTAAAACTTTAAAATCAAAATTTGCCATGAACGCCTTGAAATAATAATTTAAAATTTGGTGACCAACATGCTCTTTAAGAAAGTAATATTTTGACAAAATTACCTTTAAAATTTTTTACCATGTTATTGGTAATTTTTCCTCCTATTTTTTACGCCACTGGAATAAATATTATTTTTTATTTTTTTATTATATTTTTTTAAAATTCTGTTCATTTTTAGTAAATAAAAGTGGACTTTTTGTAGAGGTAAAATGAACAATGTCGCAGAAATTTGTTTCTAAACAAGAGACTACGTGTTCTTAACCACTGTGGAGCCTCTCTTCATGTTTCTTGGTAATTTTAGTAATTCCTTCTAGAATAACTTCAACTTTGAGTGCTCGGTGCAGGAGTTTATTCCTAACATACCAAGGAGAATTTACTACGTTTCTGAGTATTCGATTTGGTAACTTTTTCTAGGCAATTATAATTGCTTTTTCTGGTACACCCCCATAATTGTAGGCCATATGTCCATACTAACCTTGGAACTTTGTTTTGGGTGGAAAGTATATAGAGCAGGGGTTCCCAACCTTTTCTTGGTCAGGGACCACTTTTATATTATTCTTGTTAGAAGGGACTACTATGTAGGTATAATAAAAATAAACTCTAATAATCAAACTGAAATTACATAAAAAGAAATAATATTTTTGGGATAAACTTCTGTAATTTTGTAATAATGTGATTTCTGAGCTTGCATCTTCTTCACGAGTTCGGCTATCCTAGGACTAATATTGTTACTCAAAGCTACACGCAAATCATCACTTCTATCTATCTATCTATCTGAATTAGGGCGTGGTTCAAAGCCCACTTGTACTGAAGCTCTAGGCTCCCTCACCCTGTACCCCTCACAGTTTCTATCCCATCAGATTGATTTTCTTGATGAATTCAAGAATATGTCTGATGAGCGCTTTCGCGATTTCTTCAGGTTCCGGATATTATACCCCGAAGTACCATTCCCGTTCCCATTTAAGGTTCCGGCAATGGCATAGTATGTGAATAGGAGTTTCATCCTGCTCTTCACATATTCTATATAGGGAGTCATCAGATATCCCTAAGAGATTTAGGTGTCTTCTAAGGCCGCAGTGTGCCGTAAGGAGTCCTATTACGGCCTTGAGTTCGCTTCTGCTAAGGTTTAGCAGTTGATGTTATCTACTCGTGCATGGCCCCTCTATGAATCTTTTGGACTGTCTAAGTCCAGGAAGTTCCATCCAGAGCCTATGGTGTTCTCTTTTTATTTGTTCCTTTAACACCCATTTAACATGTTGGTATGAGATACCACACGTGGGTTCTGGTCCAATAAGAATTTTTTCCGCTCCCTTCCTTGCTAGGAGGTCTGCTTTCTCGTTTCCAAACACTCCCTCATGTCCTGGCACCCATTCAAGGGTGACCTTGTTATGTTCTGCCAGGGCCTGGAGGGACTGTTGGCAATCAAATATTGATTTAGATTGTACTTCTACCCTTTTCAGTGCTTTAAAAGCTACCTAAGTGTCTGTCATGATAACGATCCTAAGAGAGTCATTTAGCATGACTTTGGCGCAGGCATTTATTGCTGTTACTTCAGCCTGGAAGACTGTTGTCAGTGACCCCAGGTTCAAACTAATTGTCCTCCCTGAGTTCACATGGTACTCGTAGATCCCTGTGCTGTTTTTCATTTTCGAACCATCTATATACCAGATTGATTCGTTCTGTTTTTCCCTATTTTCCCGGCTTTTGGTCCTTTCTGGTATTTGAATATCAAAAGGTTTCCTGAAGTCGTGAATAATGGACGATCTATCCGATGGCATTCTTAGTACCGGATTTTGTTTTAATTTCTCTAATATCATTGTGTGTTGTCCTTTTCTCGAAAGTTCCCATCCAAATCCATTAGTAAACAGCCTGTATGCCGCCGCCATAGCCTCCTTCTCCACCATAAGGTGTAGTGGAGGAAGACCTAGCAGTAGCTCCATTGCTGCTGTGGGCGTAGTTCTAAATGCCCCTGTTATTATTAGACAGGCTAGTCTTTGTACCTTGTCTAATTTTCTGTTAGCTGTTATGCTTTTAGTCTTATGCCACCATATGACTGATGAGTAAGATATAACAGGTACTATAACCATAGTATAAAGCCAGTGCATCATACTTGGTTTAAGCCCCCATGCGTTCCCTACCATCCGTCTAAATCACATCACTTACTTTCAAACGATTCCTCGCCTAGGTTTTTAATTACCAACAAAGCAGAAAATCCTTGTTCACATAAATATGTTGTTGAGAAAATCATAAAAGGCGATTTCTCGAAGTTTAGTATAAGAAATTGCTTTTTTACACCAAAACGACTCAAGTGAATTCAATTTAAAAGTATCCTTGTAGTTTCTGTCATTTTGGAATTCAATGTGTCCTTCCTGGATTCCTTCAGTAACTTCACCAGCGTCCCTGTTAAAAGGGTTACGAATCAGTTTTTGATCAACTTTAGCTTCTTGAGTATATTCTGGCCAGTAACGATAGAATTCAGCATTCAACATTTGTAAATGAGTCTTGTTATTTTCTTGTATATTTGCTTTAGTAGCGTCATACTTTTTAACTTCCACAAGTGCTTTTAATGTCGCAAACGCAGAATAATTATTTTCTTCAATTTTACGTAACCACAACTGAAGTTTGCAAATAAAAGTGCGAAGTTTATCTTCAAAAATGAATATATTTGCGACGTTTTCTAATTGGTTATTTCCGGAACCTTGCAGTTGCATATTCAATTTATTTAAGTGTGTAAAAATATCCATAAAATAAGCCAAATTCAGCGGACATGCCGGATTAGTAAACTGTTTCAACAAATAAAAAAAATTTTGTCAACCAAAAAAATCTCACTCTGCTCTCAGTTCATATAATCTTCCCAACATATTACCTTTCGATAGCCATCGAACTTCTATGTGAAAGAGAAGTGCTCACCGCCCGCAAAATTTAAATCATTCGCGGACCATATTTTGACTTCTGCGGACCACTGGTGATCCACGGACCACTGGCTGGGAACCATTGATATAGAGAGCGTCTTATCAACAAATACATATTTATATATTTAATCTTTAGCTATTCAGTTTTCATTTTAATTTAGCGTCCATTAGACCTAGGTATTTTGCTGTTTTCTTACTTGGAATGATATTATTGTTTAAATTTATATATATATATATATATATAGTGGAAGGGTAGTCTTTGCTGAATAGTAATGTTAAATTCAAACTAATTTATTGGGGGCAGCAGCAATATGTAATAAAGAAAACTCTTTAAAGATGATCCAAGCTTTCGGAAATTTAATAACTTATTTCCATCTTCAGGGAATCTACAAAAGGTGTGGTGTGTCTTCATAGGAACATAATATTATTAAGAGAGTGAGTTACTTACATCTTTGTGAGGATGAATTATTAATGATGTTAAATATGTTAAATTTTATGATTTTGATGCACATATAGAATTATAATTACACAGTTTTACAATATAACTTAAAATTATTGTGGTTAAAATTCAGTTTGAAATTTAACTGTTATGTCAAATTTTGTGTCATTAGTTGTTTATGTATACAAGTGTGTTAGATTAAATATAGAAATTACTAATAAGGAACCTAGTTAGGAAGATTACTTTGTACCTAAATTATTATTTAATAATGTTTTATCTGAGAATGCAGTTTGATTAAATAATTCATCATCAACAAAACTGTCACTAATTGTTGTGATGAATGAAAGGATGTTGTAAATTATTTCATCAAAAACAATACTGTCACCATTGTTATGATGAAAGGTTGAATATTAAAAGTTATTTAATCAGACTTGTATCATAAAAGGTGGACATTTAAAAAATTAGATTTCATCTGCAATAATACTGTCACTATTATTCTGATGAAGGGTTGTATTGGTGTTGAGTAAGTATGAGTAAATAGCACTTAGATGTTTTATGTCCGTCCTTTTATTAATACAATTTTGATTTTGGTATATCCAAGCCATTTCTAAGAAGAGTCTTTTGGTATAATTGGATTCTGTGTCAAGAATCTTAGATGCATCGTAGTCCATTCTGTGGTCTAAACTATTTACACCAAAGTAAAGGACAAAACACCATTAAAAAGCTTATGTAATGTTGTTTATCAGATTCCTTGCAAAGATTGTGATAAAGTATACATTGGTGAAACATCTAGATCACTAGGTAACAGAATAATCTCTCACAGAAGTGACGCACGGTTACACCCTGAAAGGTGCTCTTTAGCTGAACATGTTAACAGTTTAGACCACAGAATGGACTACGATGCATCTAAGATTCTTGACACAGAATCCAATTATACCAAAAGACTCTTCTTAGAAATGGCTTGGATATACCAAAATCAAAATTGTATTAATAAAAGGACGGACATAAAACATCTAAGTGCTATTTACTCATACTTACTCAACACCAATACAACCCTTCATCACAATAATAGTGACAGTATTATTGCAGATGAAATCTAATTTTTTAAATGTCCACCTTTTATGATACAAGTCTGATTAAATAACTTTTAATATTCAACCTTTCATCATAACAATGGTGACAGTATTGTTTTTGATGAAATAATTTACAACATCCTTTCATTCATCACAACAATTAGTGACAGTTTTGTTGATGATGAATTATTTAATCAAACTGCATTCTCAGATAAAACATTATTAAATAATAATTTAGGTACAAAGTAATCTTCCTAACTAGGTTCCTTATTAGTAATTTCTATATTTAATCTAACACACTTGTATACATAAACAACTAATGACACAAAATTTGACATAACAGTTAAATTTCAAACTGAATTTTAACCACAATAATTTTAAGTTATATTGTAAAACTGTGTAATTATAATTCTATATGTGCATCAAAATCATAAAATTTAACATATTTAACATCATTAATAATTCATCCTCACAAAGATGTAAGTAACTCACTCTCTTAATAATATTATGTTCCTATGAAGACACACCACACCTTTTGTAGATTCCCTGAAGATGGAAATAAGTTATTAAATTTCCGAAAGCTTGGATCATCTTTAAAGAGTTTTCTTTATTACATATTGCTGCTGCCCCCAATAAATTAGTTTGAATTTTATATATATATATATATATATATATATATATATATATATATATATATATATATATATATATATATATATATATATATATATATATATATATATATATATATATATATATAATATATATATATATATATATATATATATATATATATATATATATATATATATATATATATTGATATATGATATATTATTTTATTTGTAAAGTTAACTTTGTGAACGTTGCGGCATTGGCTGTACCAGTTATACCTGCTATAGTTGACTATATAGTTAAAATGTGGCTAATTTTATATTTTTTATCTCTTTAATATCATAATTATATAATAAATATAATACTGACCCAAGAACACTTCCCTGGGGGACGCCACCACGTATTGATTTGAGTTCAGAATATTCGTTTTCCATCTTAACCTTGAACATTTCTTTATTTCAAATAGTTGTCCTTGGTGCCACACTTTATCGAAGCCTTTAGAATTATCAAGAAATCATCTTCTAGAGATTTTTATATTTCACTTATTATGCGATGGATCTGATCAATCGAAGAATGTTTATCTTGAAATCCGAATTGATGGGACGGGCTAAGTTGTTTTTTGTCGATTATCTTATTCCGGCTTCTTAAGAAGGATTCTCAAATAGTGTTGATATCAAATCACAGGTAAAAGCGAGATTGGTCTATATGATGTTATTTCATTATTGTTAACATAACACATCATTGAAATTAAGAAACGCTCTGTATAAATATACTGCAACGTTAATATTCCTACGATATTGAACGCTTTTTCCAATAGAATAGTAGTTATTAAAATAAATAGTACATTAAATCGATAAAAGAAGGTACATTATAATAGCAATCAACGAATAAGTAGGTACACAGATACATTTAATGACCGATCGAACTACCTTGCACATTATTGGAATACAACTTTGTTATAAAATCCAATATAGAATGAAACTCACTACTTATTATTAACAAAGATTTATAACCTCCTGATCGATTAAACTATACTTATGTCTATAACGTACAATCAGAGACGGGATTGATTGTATGAGGAATGTGCAGCCAAGTTCTTCTTTTAGCTGCTTAGCACCAATCTTCGTTAGTTAAAATTTATTGATACCTGATCCGATTCTGTTTTAAATATACGTTTCCAACTTAGATATCTACTTAATCATCAGATACTAACGATTATTAAAGGATGTTATAATGATGTTTTTTATCAAATCACATGCAATTTAGCTGGTTAGTTTTTGCAGCTGCATGACATTAGAGAACTGACAAATTTTTATAATTAATTGGAAAGGTATTAATTAATAGATATATTAGAATTTTATTACATTTGCTTTCCAAGACATCTGTTTCTACACATAATAAATAGATACAGGGTGCTGCCACAACGAAAAATCTTTACCGGAAAATATGATAGTAAATCGGATTAAAATTAACAATTTGATTATCAAACTTACAGACATTAATAGAATATCAGAAAATATTTATATTATGCTCTGCGTCTAGAATAATAGCATTCTATATAGTACAATAATATTTATATTTTGTCACTAGCACATACACAGAGGAAAAGGCTGTATTCCAGGATGTTGTAAAAATAAGGATACCATGCAGTAGTGGCTTGCAGTTAAAGACAATGGGTGTTCTGTGTGTTCTCTTTTCGTTTATTAACTTATAAACCAAATCAATGTCTTTCATGTACAATAGAAACGCGTACTGGCGAATTAACAAAAACTAATAATCTGAAAAACCGAAATCGAATCACATAACATACGCGACAGACTATAAAGAAAGCTCGCGGATGTAGCAAAAATGCAGCTCAATCATTACGTGTGTTCATGTTAATTTTTAAAGAGCTGTGAGGAGGTGAAACGATGAGCGGGAGCGGCCCAAGCGGTGCATAGATTGTCCCAAAACGACTCAACAAAGAGATGAATATGACCTGGCGAGTTTCTGTTAAGTCTTCTACTGGTCCGCTCTGGACTTATTCTCAGCTATGAAATGAGAATAAGATACGTTCATTTTCAATTAATCGATTATTTACTATTAATCAATCATTTTCGAATATTTTTTTTTTCGATTGATGGATTATTTTCGATTAATCGATTATTTCGATTACTTAATCTATTATTTCGATTACTGGATTATTTCGATTAATCGATTATTTCGATTATTAGATTATTTCGACTATTTCGATTAATCGATTATTCAGATTAATCGATTATTTTAAATAATCGAAAAACGATTATTTATTTTAATGATCGCCCAGCCCTATCCGTTACTGCCTTCAATTAGGCATTTCAACGACCTGTCAAAAAATAGCCGCCAGTGAGACGCTATTTGTATTTGACTTAGCGGTCGCCAAACCTGCTAATTTATGAAAATTTAAGTAAAAAATATGAAAAAAGTAGTATAAAGGTATCTGTATATGTAATGTGTGGAGGGTTGGTTTACTCCTACGGCACTTAGACCTCAGTAGGCCTATTGTGCATCCACTTAAGATGATAGATACCTCCTAGCTCATAAGTCAGCCTACAGATTTAATGTAGTTGATAACATCGCCAAGAGGTGTTTCTCTTATATCGACCGGTGTTAGCAGATACTATCCGAACACAAATTTTCTAATAAATGGGAGC